CAGACACTACTCACCAAGGTAGAATGTACAGCATTGTCCTTATAAGCTGTGTCATGCCAATTGAGCTAGATGGTCCAAGACCATGGTCCCCAGAGCCCTCCGCCCAGCAATTCAGTCCCTCAGGGAGTTTGGATGTGTCTGTGGGGCTTCCATGACCTTTCCTTGTACAAGCTGTGCTAGTTTCTCCTGTAACAATACTAAAACTTAATACTCTCTTAATTGTGGAATAAAAACTTAAGCTATTACAGGTGACAGAAATATTAAAATTTAAAAAATAAAAATAAATAAACACATAACACACCAGTAACTTCACTGTGGCAGAAAAGTTGTTTACCCAATCTCTATTCTCCCTTCATCTTTTCCAAAAGAAGCCAGATTTTCTTTATGGTTGGTATTGTGTCCAGCTAAGGACATTTCCCAGCCTCTCCTGCAGCCAAAGATAACCATTTGACATAGTTCTGGCCAAATATCGAACAAGAAGTCACTGAATAGGCTTCCCAGAAAGCTCTTTAAAGGGAGCTGGTTCAGCCAGCAAACATTTTCCCCCTCCTTCTCCTTTCTCCATAGAGCATGCAAGGTGTGACTGGAGTTTTACAAGTAATCTGGAACCACGAGATAACCTTTTTTTTTTTTTAAACTCTTTTTTTTAAATTGTTGTAGTTTAAGTGAAAGTTTACAATTCAAGTTAGTCTCTCATACAAAAATTTATACATAAATTGTTATGGGACCCTAATTGCTCTCCCTATACTGTGACAGCACACTCCTCCTTTCTACCCGATTTCCCATGTCCATTCAACCAGCTCCTGACCCTCTCTGCCTTCTCACCTTCGGACAGAAGTTGCCCATCTAGTCTCATGTATCTACTTGAGCTAAGAAGCACACTCTTCACGAGTATCATTTTATGTCCCATAGTCCAGTCTAATCTTTGTTTGAAGACGTTGGCCTCAGGAATGGTTTTACTGTTGGGTTGACAGAGAGTCCGGGGATCATGCTTTCTGGGGCTCCTCCAGTCAGAGGCAGACCATTAAGTCTCGTCTTTTTACTAGAATTTGTGTTCTGCACCCCACTTTTCTCCTGCTCCATCAGGGACTCCCGTGAGGTAATGTTGAGGATAAAAACCAAACACTAAAGATAGCAGAGCAGAAAGTAGGAACTTGTGGCATTGACATCATCATGGAACTCTCATACCATTCCTAAACTGCCTGTCTTGAGATGTCTTTTAAATTAGAGAAAATTAACCTCTATATTATCTAACGCAGTTTTTTGAGATCTCTGTTACTCGCAATCAAATGCAATTCCCAACTTATAAAGTACACAGCCTTTAGAGATCCATGGGATTGTAGTTTCCTTAAGGAGTTATCCAAGTTCCACAGCACCTATGCATATAAAAGGCTATCAACTTCTTAAATAGTTTTTATTTTCTACCATTCTAGTTCAATGGGAATAAGCAAAATATATTGTTGGCAAACTGTTTTCATGAGTTGACAGAGGATAAACCATTAGAAATTAAAAACAAACAAACATGGAAATACCTGTATCAACATTATCTGAGTTCAATGAACTGGCAGAGTCAAAATTCCCTTCACTCACAAAAGCCAACTTCTCTAGATCAGCAAGCTGCCTTTGAATTGAGATGTGTCTCTCTGAAAGGAAAGGTAATTTTAAGAATTAGAAAATTATATTTTAACAATTTGTATTCCAGTTTCATTTCTATTAAACAGCATCATACAGAAGTTTACGCTTCTCTCGTAGCATAGTGTTCTAACACTCAGATGGGGAATAACTGCCACAACTGAGTTTACAAAATAACAAGTGTGCTACAGAATGTAAGGAAGTTGGGAAAAAACTCCATCGTATAGCCACGCCTTTTAAATTTTAACTAATTATTTACTGTAACTCTACAAGAAATGCTTCTGCTCTCTACAGAATACTGCAGTAAGAAACATAAGCCATGTTCCTTGTTTTCAAAGAACTTGCCATCAGGAGAGAGATATGAATGCATTAACTTTTAACTATAAAACAAAGCAGGGTCGCTTTAAGTTGAAATGAACTCATTGGTACCTAACAACAGGATGAAATGAATACTAGAGGTATTTTGCATTCAGCAAAAGTAATAATTAATTCCAACAAATGACCCTGAGAATGTTTTTACTGAAGAAGTGGCATCTGACTGAGACTTAAAGTACGAATAGATTTCAATAAGTAGAAATTTAATGGCTGGACCTTATAAACTGAAGTAATCTCACGAACAAGGTATGTTGTATTAAAGTACAACTATCCCTATCACACTCCTGGCTGGTATATAGATGTTTGGAAGATGGAGTAGGTAGGAAAATATGTTGCCAAAAATGTAGTACAGAACATGGAAATCATAAATTCTATTCAAGTTAGTTTGGACTTTGGACTTTATTCTTGAGGCAATAGTAAGTCTTCACAGGTTCCCGAGAAAGTGAATGTTATAACTTGAATGATATAATTTGAATGCATTTCAGGAGGGTATCTCTGTCAGCAGCAATTACTGCTGTTGTCAGTTGCGGTCAAGTCAGCTTTGACTCATGGCAACCACATGTACGACATAATGAAATGCTGCCTGGTCCTGCGCCATCTTTACAATCGATGGTATGCTTGAGTCTATTGTTTCGGCCACTGTGAATTTCGAGTGCATTCCAACGTAGGAGGCTCATCTTCTAGCACTATATTTTGTTGTGATCCACAGGGTTTCAATGGCCGATTTTCAGAAGTAGATTGCCAGGCCTTTCTCCCAAGTCTTAGCCTGGAAGCTCCGCTGAATCCCATCCACCATGGGTGACCCTGCTAGTATTTGAAATATTGGTGGTATAGCTTCCAGCAACATAGCAACACACAAGTTACCACAGCACAACAAACTAACGCACGGGTGGTAGGAAGACCAATTACAGAGGTGAGAAATTAGTAATGGAGAGGTATAGGAAAATAGATGGTAGAGAAAAAAAGCAACAGGACTTAGGGTTTGAGAACTAACAGTGAGGGGTAAAATCAAAAATAATTCTAAGATTTTGAGTCTGTATCATTGAAAATGATGGCACCAATGAAGGAAGAGAAAAATACTTGGCAGAAAGGAAGAGGAAAGGAGAAAATGAATTTAGTTTTTGATAGTGTGTTTCGACATGTACTGGTAGAGTGTTCATGTAGTAATGTCCGATAAAAGACCTCTTTAAAAGTGTTAAAAAGCAAAGATTTCACTTTGATCACTAAGGTGCACCTGACCCAAACCATGGTATTTTCAATCGCCTCATACGCATGCAAAAGCTGGACAAAGAGAAAGGAAGACCAAAGAGGAACTCATGTACTCAAATTGTGGTATTGGCGAACAATACTGAATATACCATGGACTGCCAGAAGAATGAACAAATCTGTCTTGGAGGATGTACAGCCAGAATAGTCTTTAGAAGTAAGGATGGAGAGACTTCATTTCACTTACTTTGGACACGTCATCAGGAGGCACCAACTGCTGGATAAAGACACCATGCTTTGTAAAGAAGAGGGTCAGTAAAAAGAGGGAGACCCTCAACAAGCTGGACTGGAACAGTGACTTCAACAATGGGCTCAAACATAGCAGTGACTGTGAGGATGGTGCAGGACCAGGCAATGTTGCGTTCTGTTATACACAGGGTTGCTATGAGTTGGAGCTGACTCAATGGCAACTAACAACAACAATGTCCAGTAGGCAGCTGAAAATTTGTTTTTGGAGTTCAGGGGGGATTCTGAATGGAGGTATAAACCATGAATACATATTCGCTGAAACTATTAAAATGGGTAAGAAAGCCCAAGGAAAATATGTGAAAAAGAGAAGGAAAAAGTCAAGACCCACTCTTGTCTAATTATGACTGATTCTTGACTGGGGAGGAGGATGCATTCCCTAATGCTGCTGAACCCATTTCTGATTAATATAAATGGATATAATCTGAAAATGAGGTATAGAGGGACATAGATATTATAAGAGATACAGAGAAAGAAGAACCAGGAAAGCAGACTCAAGATAATGCAGAAGACCCAAGGAAGAAGAGACTGTAAAAGAGAAAGTGTTCAACACTGATAAGTAACACAAACAGTTGTAGAGATGAAGAAAAGACCACTGGATTGATTATTCAGTAGGTCCTTGGTAACCCTTAAGAAAGCAGTGAGATGTATGGGAGTAGAAATGGGATTGGAAGGGAAAAAGAAGTACAGAAAATCAGTCTAGGTTATTTTTAATGTAAAGGATGACTTAAAAAGTGAGAGGATGAAGATAAAAGAATAGGAGATGATAACTGATGGGAAATGATCCCCAAGGAGACAGCATATGATGGGATAAACTATCAGATTATATTAGTAGGTTATACAGTTTAGAACCTTAATCGAGTTGCTGTACAGTTGATTCCAACTCATAGCTACCCAACGTGTGTCAGAGTAGAACAGTGCTCCACAGTGTTGTCAATGGCCGATTTTTCAGAAGCAGATCACCAGGCCTTTCTTCTGAGGCACATCTGGGTGGGCTCAAACCTCCAACCCTTTGGTTAGCAGCCAAGCACACTAACTGTTTGTATCACCCAGGGACTCCTACTTACAACCTTAAGCCTTTTAAATTCTGTTTTTTAAACTGCCACCTTCCTGCCTGTTCCATTCTCTCTAGCCTCACTCCATTTCTTTATTTACCCTTCTGAATAATTTGTCCTTGTTTGTCCCCTGCCACAAATAAGCAATAAGAAGGCAGGGACTATGTCTCATTCATCTTTTAAGTGGTTACTGCAGTAACTTGCACACAGCAGGCACTAAGGGTTGTTAATTAATAATTCTTAATAATCATTAGCCTTTATAGTTATAGTAGCACACTGACTCAATAATTTTGGAAATCCAATTCAGCACTATTGCACATTCAGCTCAAATTTACTAAAACACAATTTTTCATTTTATTTTTAAGTGAGCAAAAACAAAGAAAAACAAACATTATTGGTTAACTTCTTATAACAGGTATTGTTCAAATGACTTAAGATGAGATATAATTTCTGAATAGGCAAAATTTTTTCCCATTTGATAAAAAAACTTTGCACTGCTAGGTCAGACAGATTCAGGCAATGAATCCATGTGTACCCAAACCAACCAAATTTAATTTGTAACCACAAAGCCTATTCGGAATTCATAGTTCAAAGATCTGTGTATGTGAAAAAAGACATGTATCACTATATAAAGGTGTGCTTAGTGAAATCATTCTAATTACCAGACAGTATTAAGAGAAAGGTCTGATAAGTGAGAAGAGTGAAAATCCTATTGTCCACTATTGGAGAAAAATCTCAAAGATCTGTCTAAAACATTCATAATGTATGTCTATATACATCTTTGAAATCACTTTCTGGTTTAAGATAGCAGACAGACAACCTGTACTTAAATCACTCAACGTGCTTTCTGTAACACACGAATAATCCAGAAGTTAACAGACAAACCTCTTGCTAAATCACATGAGTCCAAGATGCCAGGAGGTTCTTTTGTAGCTTCTTCTGTTACTTTTTCCTCAATTTTCAATTCTATTTCAGATATGCCATCGTCATCTTGCATAGTTATGACTGATTTCAAAGGGCTAATTAGACCATCTAAAAATAATTAAAAAATGTGATTAGTATATATTTTGGTTCTAATGCATATCATATTTCTCAATCATTACATATTCATTCAAGTAATACATCTTCACATTTCTCACACATTCTACAAATTCATACTTACAAAATATGGAATGTACAAATAAACCTTTCCAAAATATGTTCAACATACTCTTAATGGCAGGGATTGGGTGGAGGAGGAAGCACGCATTCCCTAAAGCTGCTGAAGTCACTTTGGATTAACATAAACACACAATCTGGAATTGAGGTAGGGAGGCTTCTCACTTAGGAGAGTGTGTTCATACACACCTCTACCCCCACTGTAGGTACTGCTGAATAATCAACTAGTTTTATCTAGCACATACAAATTCTGACCTTATGTGATGAAGAAAGTCCTACTGGAGGCATGCTTTGTCTTTCCTGTGCTCAACCCTTCTTTTAAGTCTACTATAACAATTTATGTGTCGACTTAAAATTGCAAAACAACTCTATTACACTATAACCATCCAAGGGTTTTATAAACATTAAATTCACAACTGGCTTGGAAGTAGAAAAGACAATGAATTAAGGTATTTTAAGTTACAAGTCAGAAAGAGCGTAAAAGTCAATTTATGGACCACAAAATTAAAAACAAAACCTAACAACAACAAAAAATTTCTGGTTAATTCTTCTGTAGATCTTACATTTTAAAATGCACAGAAGATCCTTAAGAAAGTGTCATTCACCAGTCTTTTAAACACCTATATGGCCCAATAAATCACCACTTAGAAAACACGCAAACACATTCAGAAGCACAACACGCGCTATTAATTTTCAACAGTGGACTTCCGACTGGAGTACAAAACTCAATCAGTATTAATGCGTGAGGGAAGACACAGTACTTAATTTAGTCCACTCTTTTTTAAAACTACTTGTCAACCTCAAATTCTTTTTGGAAGCAAGCTGCTATGAATGAAAAAAAAATCATCTTTGTGTATGTCGAGTAATAAAGTCAGCTGATAGCAACGGTTTCTGTATCTGGGAAGTTAGAATCTACTACAGTGAACAGGTTGCCTCGCTTTCTATGTCACCTTTCAAAGGATCTAGTGAAACCTGGCCAACGGGGCTGACAGGGAAACTACCAAATTGTATGTAACTTCCCATCTGGTTGCAAAAGGCCCCCCCTTTAACTAAGAAGCCCTCAACCTCATTATTTCCTTCCATCTGCAGCACCCCTGGCCTCCACACATTCTCGAAGTTTATGCTATTGCCTTCTACTACTCTGTACCCATGTTTTATCTGACACACGGCCCGGGCCCACGCACTTCCCCTAAACCTGCCTTTCCCACATAAAAACCATCCCAGTGAAAAAGGGCCTCCCTTATCCCCCAGGAAGGCGCACTTTCTCGCTTTTCCTGCGGCAGAATGATTTGGGCCTCCTGCACTTACTGCTTTCAGCCTCCTCAGGGGCAGAGGCTAGGGACGGGGACGGGGACAGGGCCGAAGCCTGGGCCAGGGCGGGGGCTGGGGCAGGGGCCGAGGCCGGAGTCGGAGCCGAGGCTGGAGCCGGAGCTGGGGCCGGAGCCGAGGTCTGGGCCGAAGTTGGGACCCGAGCCGCGTTCGGGGCCGGGGTCGGGACCTGGACCTGAGCCACCTCTACCTCCTCCTTCTCCAGGGGCAGCAGCTCCTCCTCCGCCATATTCTCCATAGTTACCGCCTCCGTGCTAGGCCCGCCCAGGACCAGAAGGGGGCTGACGGCGGGGTGACTGAACTGGCGTGAATGCCCAGAGGGCTGGATCCAAGGAGTGGGAAAGCAAATGGTGGGAGCAGGATGCGTGCAACAGACAAATATGATGAAGAACAGTGGCCAAATCCTGTCGGCAGAAAAATAAAAACCCAGAGGCAGCAATTTAAAGTCCCGTCGATTCCCTTTCCCCGAGGCGTTACGACGCCACCACGGACTGCGCAGAAGCGTATCCAGGACGGCGTCCAATGAGATAAGAGAGCTCCGTTTCCACTGTGCGCCTTCGTTCCACCGGGCAACCACGGAATCTAACCAAAACTACAATACCCAGGGTGCACTGAGCCTCCTGGGGCGGCCGGAGTTTGAAGTCTTAAAACCAAATCGGGTGCGTGGAGTCAATTCCAACTCATAGTGACCCTATAAGACAAAGCAGAACTGTCCCCATAGAGTCTCGAAGGCCGTAATCTTTACAAGCTGACTGCCACATCTCTCTCCCCCGGAGCAGCTGGTAGCTTCCAACCACAGACCTCTTGGTTAGCAGCCAAGAGCTTAACAACTACGCCACCCTATAACTACTGTTCGAAGTCCAGGAGGAAGTAAATACACATCAAAACAAACTCTGGAGCGTTCTGGGGCTATCTGCATCAACGCACAAAACTACATTTCCCAGAGGGCATCGGGCCGGGGAGGTGGGGGTTGTCGCCTATTCTTGGCCTGGGCCTTCGGAGTCGCCACCTCTGCCTGCGCTGATAAGGTAGGGAACTAGGGGGTGCGTTGACGTTTCCCTGGGCAGGGTGCTTCGCCAGCCCTAGGGACCCCAGCGGGCGGCCGGCTGGCCGGCCTTGGGAACGAAAGGGTCACTTTTGCCTGGGCGGAGCGACCCTGTGGGCGGATCCGAGGTCGAGCCTGCTCTGTGGAGGTGTGGTTCCGGCCCGGCCCTGGCCCTGGGGCTCGTTTTCTCAGCGTTGCGTCTGGGCAGCGTCTTTGGAGCAGGTAGGTTAGGAAGGGCCGGAGCGCTTACCGCGGTGGTTTACGAGCTGCTGACGAGCTTGTCTGTCAGTCCAACTGACTTGGAATTGGGGTCCCCTGTTCAGTTCGTATCCTCAGCTCACATCGTGCCCTAGACACTATGTTTTTCTTGTTTTTAGTTTTGCTTTAGCCTACATGTTCCTAGTGTCGTCAGCGCTGCGCGTCCTGTGGATAGGGGTTTTTTGCCCTGCGCTTGTTTTTAGCCAGAGTTCTGAGTCGGCTAAGTTGCGGGGCGCTTGACTGATGCGATTCAGATTACCCAAGGAATATGCCACTGAGTCCCCTGCCCTCGGCACGTCTCTTCCCTTCATTCTCTGCACTTGCTTGCGCTCAAGTCTCGCTCGTTCTCTTTTTTTCGTTAAGCCCACTGCGACAGGCGGGAGAAAACCTGAGTTTTCTGGCTTCTTTATCTGGGACTTGTCCGAGTTTTATAAGGATCAGGGAAGGAGAGGGAAGTTCGTTTTAGTCTCAGATATAAGATTCACACTTCAGTTAAGCTTTGCTTGTCAATAAAGCTGGTACGTAATACCTGTCTTAGTCTATTTCCCACTTGTTTCAAAACTCAGAAGAGAGCGTGATTATTTTGCACTTTGAAACCAACAGGAAGCTAGTTTTTTCCTCTTTAGTTGTTAGGAAGTATTGTTTGTTCGTTTGTTTTCTCTCCTGCTAAGCTTCTGTGAGGGGCCCTGGTTGCGCAGTGGTTTAGTGCTCGGCTGCTAATCAAAAGGTTGGCGGTTTGACCACGAGCCACTTTACATCCTTGGAAACCCTATGGGGGCAGTTCTGCTCTGTTCTATAGAATCGCTATGAGTCGGAATACACTGTATAGCAATTTTTTTTTTAAGCTTCTGTGAGTTATAGTCCTAAAATTCTCTTAGTTATCCCCCTCCCACCTTTAAAACTACTATTTCTGGATGTATAGCTGACTCACTGTCAATTAAAAATGGGGTAATAACACTGATTATAACTTAATATAAATGCGTAGTGCCTTAACTATATTTGTGCATCATCCTAGAATCATTTTTTTTTTTAATTTCTAAAAGTCTTGAAGGTTAAAATTTTTTTTCTTCCATGGGATGGAATTCTTGAGACAAGTGATTTAGGAAATAATATTGGAGTTATTATTCCCTCTCCTTGAGCATACAGAATGTGACCCAGCTGGAGCTGGGCTCACAAGGACTCACAAGGACACATCAACTGGGCCCTGAGGTGTAAAGACAATAGCTAAGATAATCTTGGAAAATATCTTTTAGGGAAACTTTCACATAAAGCCGATCAAACACAACACAAAAGACTTTCCACTCTTATCTTCTTCTATTAGCATTTAGTGAATAGGAAATTTGTTGGACCAGTGAAGACCCTCCTGACTTTACTTACTGAAACCGGTACCAATGATTGTTAAGAAAGATGATTCAAAAAGTAAGATTACAGTTTCTAGCCAATCAGTGAAAAAGTGACGCTTTCAATGATTCTACCCATTTTGTGATGTGGATATATACCGATGATTCTGTAACCTTCCTTGGATTCGGGCAGACCTTCTAGCTCTGGCGGGATGCTTGTCCACTTCCCACTTTTATCGTTTTGAATATATGCCAAATAAAACTTTCTTTTTACTCTACTAAACTTTGTGATGTTTTTCCCCTACAACACAAGAAAGGGATGATTACTACTGTAATCTGGGAACTCAACTGTGAATCAACTACTGCCATAAATTATCTTACAAAGCAAAATTTTTGGGTAATTTAGAATCCGTTCTTAGAAGTCTATGTTGAATATTTTAATATTTAATTTTCTCTTAGCTCTCAGCATTATTTTCTTTTCATATTTATCAAAGAATTCTAAAAGTTTGATTTATTATGTCCTAGGGTAAAATCACAACAAAGTTACAGTAAAGCAAGAAGAAAGTTTATTCCGCATATATTCCAAGAAGCAAAAGTGGGAAATGGACAAGCATGCTACCAGAGCTATGTCTGAGAAATATTACAGAATCATCAGTATATATTGATGTTAGCCACAGATTGGCTAAAAACTGCTAAATCACTGTCGTCTACACCTTGAATTGTCTTTCTTAATAATCATTGGTACAAATTCAGTAAAGAGGGTCTTCACTGATCCAACAAATCTTACTATTTACTACTAATAGAAAAAGATAGGAGTTGAAAATACGAGAGTCTTTTGTGCTGTAAGTATTTGTTTATGTGATAAGTTCCCTAAAAGATGTTTTCCAAGATTGTCCTAGCTATTGTTTTTATACCTCAGGGCCCAGTTGATGTGTCTTTGTGTGAGTCCTTTGTGGGGATCTATGCCATTTAAACATGGCTGCACTATTGACAACTGCAGCCCCCACAGGCCTCTATGCTGTATACCACATGTTGGAGACTTGTCAGCGACATGTTGGAGACTTGTCAGCGATAAAGAGATTAGGCACGACTTGTTTTCCCAAACCTATTGTCCTGTTACTGATTGGCTTGTTTACCTGAATTCCTTCTCCCTTGCCAGAAACTTATTGTTACTCACCCAAAGCCCATTGTTCTGTTATTTGCTTCACTGCTTGCTGTATTGACTATAAAATAAACTCCTGGGACAGGAGCCGGGGTTCGACTCTTCAGAGTGACCCTCCTGGCCCCACTTCTCTGTAAGAGTTGTGGAATTGGTTATTGTCTCCGCTGCCCCGACATTTGCCACCGCTGTGACAGATGGTGCCCCGTGTGAGGACAGACTGCCGTATAGCTGCATAGGAGCCCTCGCACTCAGTCCCTTTAGGTGGTGAGTATCGGACGTCCATTTCAGGCTGTTTAAAGGCACAGCCCGAGAGCACCGGGTTTTTTCCGCAGGTGGAATTTTCCCAAACGCTCTCAGATCAGGCTGCTTTAGCCCCAGAGCAGCA